TCTGGATAAGAGCGTCTGCTAAATGATGTAAATGTAATGAAAATGTTGCGCTGGACATTTGACCAGCAGCATTTTCATTTACCGGACATTTGAGAAATGTACCTTACCCATATGCATTGGGTGTGTAACCTGATTAGGGCATCCACACACGGTGCTCAGAATGACAGAAATCACAATTTGATCGTAACAGAACATGCAAGTCGAGGATGCAATGACATTTCTTTACCACACACTTTGAAGATGTGGACAGTTATTCTAACATGTACTTTTCCTCAGCCAACAACACGAGTAACGGACAGCAAAATCACTAGCCATTTGCATAGGTCGACACGTGAGTTTCAAGTTTGGGGAAGCACATTTTCAACATAAAAATGCACCTTTATAATATGTGACTCGTTTCAGGAAACTAGGCATATGTCGTGTGTCACTACTTCACAGGAACGCCATTTGAACGTAAACTTTTTTATCAAAATGCATTCTTTGGCAGAAATACCTTCTGGAACATGTGAACTTTCATGTGCCTTAATAACAAACTTGTATGCCATTGGTAAATTCGATTAAAATTGTTAAATTACGAGCCTAGTTGGTTTAGCCATGGAAAAAGACAGCAACTTTCCCGCTAGCCATGATTGGCTGAGATAATGAGTGGGCTGGACATGCCGAGAGATGAGTTTGGATTGGTCTGCCATGTAGCGCGCTTCTAACTATAATATGAGCTGGTCAGTATGTGTAGGTAATCCTTTCTAACGTGGCTTTTTTGAAAGATATCACGTAGTAGAAACGCATACAGTGAGGGAAAAAAGTATTTGATCCCCTGCTGATTTTGTACATTTGCCCACTGACAAAGACATGATCAGTCTATAATTTTAATGGTAGGTTTATTTGAACAGTGAGAGACAGAATAACAACAACAAAATCCAGAAAAATGCATGTCAAAAATGTTATATAAATTTATTTGCATTTTAATGAGGGAAATAAGTATTTGACCCCTCTGCAAAACATGACTTAGTACTAGGTGGCAAAACCCTTGTTGGCAATCACAGAGGTCAGACATTTCTTGTAGTTGGCCACCAGGTTTGAACACATCTCAGGAGGGATTTTGTCCCACTCCTCTTTGCAGATCTTCTCCGAGTCATTAAGGTTTCGAGGCTGACGTTTGGCAACTCGAACCTTCAGCTCCCTCCACAGATTTTCTATGGGATTAAGGTCTGGAGACCTTAATGTAGCCCATTCCAGCCTTGTGTAGGTCTACAATCTTGTCCCTGACATCCTTGGGGAGCTCTTTGGTCTTGGCCATGGTGGAATCTGATTGATTGATTGCTTCTGTGGACAGGTGTCTTTTATACAGTTAACAAGCTGAGATTAGGAGCACTCCCTTTAAGAGTGTGCTCCTAATCTCAGCTCGTTACCTGTATAAAAGACACCTGGGAGCCAGATATATGGACAATAGAATGAGTCAAAATTCACCCAAGGCTGAAAAACGGCCAAAGAACGTTGGTTGAGCTGGAACACTAGCGTGAGGCCATAGCAAATGAAGTTAAACAAACCGTCGCTGAGCCTCTTATTTCCCCCATTAAAATGCAAATCAATTTATAACATTTTTGACATGTGTTTTTCTGGATTTTTTTGTTGTTATTCTGTCTCTCACTGTTCAAATAAACCTACCATTAAAATTATAGACAGATCATGTCTTTGTCAGTGGGCAAACGTACAAAATCAGCAGGGGATCAAATACTTTTTTCCCCTCACTGTAAGTGTTGCTCTCCACTTTCTGGAGGACCGAGTTTTGAAATCAGTGGAATTAGAGTATGATAGCTAAGGAGATGGAGAAAATGCTGGCGTTTGATTGCAAATATGCAGACGGAGTCGAAGAGAGTACACACAGAAGGTTCTGGATTACATCTTCAAACTAAGGACAACCATGGCATCCGTGCCAGAGAGGGAGAAGCGTCAATCCATGTATACAGGTAAGATAGTCTAGCTAGCTACATTTTCAGATATTACACATTTCTAATTTTGTCAGAAAGTCGTTTCATTTAAAGTTAAAGTGTATTGTTAGCTATCTAGCTAATGTTAGCTGGCTGGCTAGCTAGCTAACGTTACGTGTATGATCTGTGTAGTAATAATATTCGTATCTCAGAGCCATTTCCATTGCTGTTATAGCCTAATGTTAGCTAGCCAACATTGAACCTGGTTGGTTAGCTACAGTGAGGGAAATAAGTATTTGACCCCTCTGCAAAACATGATTTAGTACTCTGTGGCAAAACCCTTGTTGGCAATCACAGAGGTCAGACATTTCTTGTAGTTGGCCACCAGGTTTGCACACAACTCAGGAGGGATTTTGTCCCACTCCTCTTTGCAGATCTTCTCCAAGTCATTAAGGTTTAGAGGCTGACGTTTGGTAACTCGACCCTTCAGCTCCCTCCACATATTTTCTATGGGATTAAGGTCTGGAGACTGGCTAGGCCACTCCAGGACCTTAATGTGCTACTTCTTGAGCCACTCCTTTGTTGCCTTGGACGTGTGTTTGGGGTCATTGTCATGCTGGAATACCCATCCACGACCCATTTTCAATGCCCTGGCTGAGGGAAGGAGGTTCTCACCCAAGATTTGACAGTACATGGCCCCGTCCATCGTCCCTTTGATGCGGTGAAGTTGTCCTGTCCCCTTAGCAGAAAAATACCCCCAAAGCATAATGTTTCCACCTCCATGTTTGATGGTGGGGATGGTGTTCTTGGGGTCATAGGCAGCATTCCTCCTCCTCCAAACACGGCGAGTTGAGTTGATGCCAAAGAGCTTGATTTTGGTCACATCTGACCACAACACTCACCCAGTTCTCCTCTGAATCATTCAGATGTTCATTGGCAAACTTCAGACGGGCCTGTATATGTGCTTTCTTGAGCAGGGGGACCTTGCGGGCGCTCCAGGATTTCAGTCCTTCACAGCATAGTGTATTACCAATTGTTTTCTTGGTGACTATGGTCCCAGCTGCCTTGAGATCATTGACAATATCCTACTGTGTAGTTCTGGGCTGATTCCTCACCGTGCATGGAGCCCCAGGCTGAGGGAGATTGACAGTTATTTTGTGTTTCTTCCATTTGCGAATATTCGCACCGTTGTCACCTTCTCACCAAACTGCTTGGCGATGGTCTTGTAGCCCATTCCAGCTTTGTGTAGGTCTACAATCTTGATCCCTGACATCCTTGGAGAGCTCTTTTGTCTTGGCCATCATGGAGAGTATGGAATCTGATTGATTGATTGCTTCTGTGGACAGGTGTCTTTTATACAGGTAACAAACAGATTAGGAGCACTCCTTTTAAGATTGTGCTCCTAATCTCAGCTCGTTACCTGTATAAAAGACACCTGGGAGCCAGAAATCTTTCTGATTGAGAGGGGGTGAAATACTTATTTCCCTCATTAAAATGCAAATCAATTTATAACATTTTGACATGTGTTTTTCTGGATACTTTTGTTGTTATTCTGTCTCTCACTGTTCAAATAAACCTACCATTAAAATTATAGACTGATCATTTCTTTGTCAGTGGGCAAACGTACAAAATCAGCAGGGGATCAAATACTTTTTTCCCTCACTGTACCTGCAGATTCATTCAGGGTAGTAACGTTATGAGTTGGGATTATGGTTCATTGTTTAGCTAGCTAGCTACATATCTAAACAAAATACTCCACTATGCAAGTAACTATTTCAGTAGAATGTTTATGATGTCACTGTGACAACCATCGATAGACGTAGTTGGTCAATTCGCTCTGGCTATCTACTCCGATTTCAGAGTACTCTTGTCTGAGTGTGTCAGAGCATAGAATAACTGACGAATTTACGAACGCTCAACACCCATTGAATATTGCCGGTGTCAGTAAAAGTTAGCAAAAAAAATCGTTATTAAAATGTTGGCAGCAGCACAGTTGCAGTCACCAAAACTCTGGATAACATAAAAACAGCATAACCAGCTCTGCTAGGTCGAGTAAAATGGTCAGTGAGCTGTTCTCTCATTATTTCTGGAAGTAGCTAGTAAGCTAGCCAACGTTAGCCAGTTAGCTTGGGTGCTTGACTGCTGTTAGGTCAGAACGCTCGGATCAACCCTACTTTTCGGCCAGAGCGTCCAGTGTGCGCTCTGAACGTTCCGAATATACGAACGGCCAATCTGACAACGCTCTGACTTTACGAATGCCCAGAGCACACTCTGGCACATTTTAGTCATTTAGCAGACACTCTTATCCAGAGCGACTTACAGTTAGTGCATACATCGAACCCACAACCCTGGCATTGCAAACGCCATGCTCTATCAACTGAGCTACATCCCTGCCGGCAATTCCCTCCCCTACCCTGGACGACGCTGGGCCAATTGTGCGCCGCCCCATGGGTCTCCCGGTCGCGGCCGGCTACGACAGAGCCTGGATTCGAACCTGGATCTCTAGTGGCACAGCTAGCTATAGAATTACATGTATCAACGCATTTGCAGACTTATGTAAGATAGCCTACTATTTGTAATGTGATGAGTAGATTGGATAGTCATAATTTAGGCTAATAATATAACTCAATCACTGTTTGCAAAAAAGACTGTTCAATGCTTGGCTAAGCGCATTTAGCGTAGAGGCCTGGGCTATACACTGTAAAAAAGAATGTGCCTGTTCTACTTTTTTAAAAATGAGGTAACTATTTGCATCAGCTTTTTGTGTATTTCCAACATTAGGTATTTTTATGTATAATATACTTTGCTTTTAGTGTTTCACAAACAATATTATATTAAGTGCAAACAACTTTCAGCATCTCAAAAATGTGTTAGATCTAACTTAATTTTATAATTTACAAAACTGTTATTGTAAGTTGGATCAACTTGTAACGTAGACGCAGGGAGTCAGGAAGCAAGTGCAGTTAATGAGTTTAATGACGAAGAACACTGAATGATACAAAACAAGAAAAGCGTCTAAACATGGAAACATAAACAATATTGCCTGGTGCGTGATAACAACGGAGTGCTACATCAAGGGGAAGTAATCAGGGAGGTGATGAAGTCCAGGTATGCCTAATGAGGCGCAGGAGTGCGTAATGAAGGTTCCCAGGTGTGCGTAAGGATGGGTTGCCAGGAGCGGTGGTTAGTAGACCGGCATCGTCGATCGCCGGAGAGGGTCAGGTCAAATGCTGATCCCTTACCTCCGTGGGAACGTAGGTGCGCTCCAGAGGACAGGTAGCCGGTGCGGGTTCCCTCTCCAAAGCCTGGCAGATGTCCACGTCTATGTCCCAGAGCACGGGGGCAACGAGTCGGGAGGGTGGTATGATGGGACCACTAAGGACAGGAACCTCTCCTGAATCGTGGAGTCGGGACAGGGCATCAGCTTTGATGTTCTTGGAACCTGGGCGGTATGACAAGGTGAAGTTCAATCTAGTAAAGAAAAGGGCCCACATTGCTTGGCGTGGGTTCAGTCGGTGAGGATGAGAAACGGATCCGTGGCACCCTCCAGCCAGTCTCCACTCCTCTAATGCCAACTTCACCGGCAGGAGCTCCCGATCACCGACATCATAGTTCCTCTCTGCAGGGGACAGTTTTTTAGAGTAGTACGCACATGGATACAGTTTTTGTGGATTACCTTGACGTTGTTCCGTCTTGATGTTGACAGGCGGCAGGTAGCTTAGTGGTTAAGAGCGTTGTGCCAGTAACCGAAAGGTCGTTGGTTCTAATCCCCGAGCCGACTAGGTGAAAAATCTGTCGATGTGCCCTTGAGCAAGGCACTAATTGCTCCTGTAAGTCGCTCTGGATAAGAGCGTCTGCTAAATGACTAAAATGTAAAATGTTGTGACAGGATGGCCCCCACGCCCACTTCTGAGGCGTCCACCTCCACTGCGTAGGGTCTGGGTGTTTCAGCAATGGGGTGGAGGTGAAACGCCCCTTCAGCAGGCGGAAGGCCTCATCAGCTGCAGGATTCCACACCAATTTACGGGGACCATCTTTGAGGAGGCGATGGAGCTGAATTTTTATTTTATTTTTTTATTTAACCTTTATTTAACCAGGTAAGCCAGTTGAGAACAAGTTCTCATTTACAACTGCGACCTGGCCAAGATAAAGCAAAGCAGTGCGATAAAAACAACAACACAGAGTTACATATGGGGTAAAAAAACATAAGGTCATAAAATACAACAGAAAATATATATACAGTGTGTGCAAATGTAGCAAGTTATGGAGGTAAGGCAATAAATAGGCTATAGTGCAAAATAATTACAATTAGTATTAACACTGGAATGCTAGATGTGCAAGAGATTATGTGCAAATAGAGATACTGGGGTGCAAAAGAGCAAAATAAATAACAATATAGGGATGAGGTAGTTGGGTGGGCTAATTTCAGATGGGCTGTGTACATGTGCAGTGATCGGTAAGGTGCTCTGACAACTGATGCTTAAAGTTAGTGAGGGAGATAAGAGTCTCCAGCTTCAGAGATTTTTGCAATTCGTTCCAGTCATTGGCAGCAGAGAACTGGAAGGAATGGCGGCCAAAGGAGGTGTTGGCTTTGGGAATAACCAGTGAGATATACCTGCTGGAGCGCAGACTACGGGTGGGTGCTGCTATGGTGACCAATGAGCTCAGATAAGGCGGGGATTTGCCTAGCAGTGATTTATAGATGGCCTGGAGCCAGTGGGTTTGACGACGAACATGTAGTGAGGACCAGCCAACAAGAGCGTACAGGTCACAGTGGTGGGTAGTGTATGGGGCTTTGGAGACAAAACGGATGGCACTGTGATAGACTACATCCAATTTGCTGAGTAGAGTGTTGGAGGCTATTTTGTAAATGACATCGCCGAAGTCAAGGATCGGTAGGATAGTCAGTTTTACGAGGGCATGTTTGGCAGCATGAGTGAAGGAGGCTTTGTTGCGAAATAGGAAGCCGATTCTAGATTTAACTTTGGATTGGAGATTCTTAATGTGAGTCTGGAAGTTGAGTTTACAGTCTAACCAGACACCTAGGTATTTGTAGTTGTCCACATACTCTAGGTCAGACCCGTCGAGAGTGGTGATTCTAGTCGGGTGGGCGGGTGCCAGCAGCGTTCGATTGAAGAGCATGCATTTAGTTTTACTAGTGTTTAAGAGCAGTTGGAGGCTACTGAAGGAGTGTTGTATGGCATTGAAGCTCGTTTGGAGGTTTGTTAACACTGTGTCCAATGAAGGGCCAGATGTATACAAAATGGTGTCGTCTGCGTAGAGGTGGATCTGAGAGTCACCAGCAGCAAGAGCGACATCATTGATATACACAGAGAAAAGAGTCGGCCCAAGAATTGAACCCTGTGGCACCCCCATAGAGACTGCCATAGGTCCAGACAACAGGCCCTCCGATTTCACACATTGAACTCTATCTGAGAAGTAGTTGGTGAACCAGGCGAGGCAGTCATTTGAGAAACCAAGGCTATTTAGTCTGCCAATAAGAATGCGGTGGTTGACAGAGTCGAAAGCCTTGGCCAGGTCGATGAAGACGGCTGCACAGTACTGTCTATTATCGATCGCGGTTATAATATCGTTTAGGACCTTGAGCGTGGCTGAAGTGCACCCATGACCAGCTCGGAAACCGGATTGCATAGCGGAGAAGGTACGGTGGGATTCGAAATGGTTGGTGATCTGTTTGTTAACTTGGCTTTCAAATACTTTCGAAAGGCAGGGCAGGATGGATATAGGTCTGTAACAGTTTGGATCTAGAGTGTCACCCCCTTTGAAGAGGAGGATGACCGCGGCAGCTTTCCAATCTCTGGGGATCTCAGACGTTACGAAAGAGAGGTTGAACAGGCTAGTAATAGGGGTTGCGACAATTTCTGCGGCTAGTTTTAGAAAGAAAATGTCCAGATTGTCTAGCCCAGCTGATTTGTAGGGGTCCAGATTTTGCAGCTCTCTCAGAACATCAGCTGTCTGAATTTGTGTGAAGGAGAAGCGGGGGGGGGGGGGGCATGGGCAAGTTGCAGCGGAGGGTGCAGAGTTGGTGGCCGGGGTAGTGGTAGCCAGGTGGAAAGCATGGCCAGCCGTAGCAAAATGCTTGTTGAAATTCTCGATTATTGTAGATTTATCGGTGGTGATAGTGTTTCCTAGCCTCAGTGCAGTGGGCAGCTGGGAGGAAGTGCTCTTATTCTCCATGGACTTTACAGTGTCCCAAAACTTTTTGGAGTTAGTGCTACAGGATGCAAATTTCTGTTTGAAAAAGTTAGCCTTTGCTTTCCTGACTGCTTGTGTATATTGGTTCCTAACTTCCCTGAAAAGTTGCATATCGCGGGGGCTATTTGATGCTAATGCAGTACGCCACAGGATGTTTTTGTGCTGGTCAAGGGCAGTCAAGTCTGAGGAGAACCAGGGGCTATATCTGTTCTTAGTTCTGTATTTTTTGAATGGGGCATGTTTATTTAAGATTGAGACAAAATTACTTTTAAAGAACAACCAGGCATCCTCTACTGACGGAATGAGATCTATATCCATCCAGGATACCTGGGCCAGGTCAATTAGGAAGGCCTGCTCGCTAAAGTGTTTTAGGGAGCGTTTGACAGTGATGAGGGGTGGTCGTTTGACCGCGGACCCGTTACGGACGCAGGCAATAAGGCAGTGATCGCTGAGATCCTGGTTGAAGACAGCGGAGGTGTATTTAGAGGGTAAGTTAGTCAGGATGATATCTATGAGGGTACCCATGTTTACGGATTTAGGGTTGTACCTGGTAGGTTCGTTGATAATTTGTGTGAGATTGAGGGCATCTAGTTTGGATTGTAGTATGGCCGGGGTGTTAAGCATATCCCAATTTAGGTCACCAAGCAGTACGAACTGTGAGGATAAATGGGGGGCAATCAATTCACATATGGTATCCAGGGCACAGCTGGGGGCTGAGGGGGGTCTGTAGCAAGCGGCAACAGTGAGAGACTTATTTCTGGAAAGGTGGATTTTTAGAAGTAGAAGCTCAAACTGTTTGGGCACAGACCTGGATAGTATGATAGAGCTCTGCAGGCTCTCTCTACAGTAGATTGCAACTCCACCCCCTTTGGCAGTTCTATCTAGACGGAAAATGTTATAGTTGGGGATGGACATTTCAGAATTTTTGGTGGCCTTCCTAAGCCAGGATTCAGACACTGCTAGAACATCAGGGTTGGCGGAGTGTGCTAACGCAGTGAATAACTCAAACTTAGGAAGTAGACTTCTAATATTTACGTGCAAGAAACCAAGACTTTTGCGATTACAGAAGTCAGCAAATGATAGTGCCTGGGGATTAGGAGTGATACTGAGGGCTGCAGGGCTTGGGTTAGCCTCTACATCACCAGAGGAACAGAGGAGGACTAGAATAAGGATACGGCTAAAAGATTTAAGAACTGGTCTTCTAGTGCGTTGGGTACATAGAATAAAGGGGGCAGATTTCCGGGCGTTGTAGAAAAGATTCAGGGCATTATGTACAGACAAGGATATGGAAGGATATGAGTAAAGTAGAGGTAAACCTAAGCGTTGGGTAACAATGAAAGAGATAGCATCACTGGAGGCACCAATTGAGTCGGTCTCCGCATGTATGGGGGGTGGGACAAAGGAGCTATCTAAGGCAGGTTTAGCTGGGCTGGGGGATCTACAGTGAAATAGTACAATTAGAAATAACCGAAACAACAATAAGCTAACCATATTGACAAGGGAGAGAGGCATAAAGCAATCAAGGTGTAATTTGAGAGAGCTAAGACAACAGCTGGTAATGACGACACAGTTTGGGCTGAGGCTAAACATAAACAGGATGCAGTACCGTAAAAAGCAACAGTCCAGCAGACATCAGCTGTATAGCTGAGTTACAGTGGGGGAAAAAGTATTTAGTCAGCCACCAATTGTGCAAGTTCTCCCACTTAAAAAGATGAGAGAGGCCTGTAATTTTCATCATAGGTACACGTCAACTATGACAGACAAATTGAGGAAAAAAAATCCAGAAAATCACATTGTAGGATTTTTTATGAATTTATTTGCAAATTATGGTGGAAAATAAGTATTTGGTCACCTACAAACAAGCAAGATTTCTGGCTCTCACAGACCTGTAACTTCTTCTTTATGAGGCTCCTCTGTCCTCCACTCGTTACCTGTATTAATGGCACCTGTTTGAACTTGTTATCAGTATAAAAGACACCTGTCCACAACCTCAAACAGTCACACTCCAAACTCCACTATGGCCAAGACCAAAGAGCTGTCAAACGACACCAGAAACAAAATTGTAGACCTGCACCAGGCTGGGAAGACTGAATCTGCAATAGGTAAGCAGCTTGGTTTGAAGAAATCAACTGTGGGAGCAATTATTAGGAAATGAAAGACATACAAGACCACTGATAATCTCCCTCGATCTGGGGCTCCACGCAAGATCTCACCCTGTGGGGTCAAAATGATCACAAGAACGGTGAGCAAAAATCCCAGAACCACACGGGGGGACCTAGTGAATGACCTGCAGAGAGCTGGGACCAAAGTAACAAAGCCTACCATCAGTAACACACTACGCCGCCAGGGACTCAAATCCTGCAGTGCAAGACGTGTCCCCCTGCTTAAGCCAGTACATGTCCAGGCCCGTCTGAAGTTTGCTAGAGTGCATTTGGATGATCCAGAAGAGGATTGGGAGAATGTCATATGGTCAGATGAAACCAAAATAGAACTTTTTGGTAAAAACTCAACTCGTCGTGTTTGGAGGACAAAGAATGCTGAGTTGCATCCAAAGAACACCATACCTACTGTGAAGCATGGGGGTGGAAACATCATGCTTTGGGGCTGTTTTTCTGCAAAGGGACCAGGACGACTGATCCGTGTAAAGGAAAAAATGAATGGGGCCATGTATCGTGAGATTTTGAGTGAAAACCTCCTTCCATCAGCAAGGGCATTGAAGATGAAACGTGGCTGGGTCTTTCAGCATGACAATGATCCCAAACACACCACCCGGGCAACGAAGGAGTGGCTTCGTAAGAAGCATTTCAAGGTCCTGGAGTGGCTTAGCCAGTCTCCAGATCTCAACCCCATAGAAAATCTTTGGAGGGAGTTGAAAGTCTGTGTTGCCCAGCGACAGCCCCAAAACATCACTGCTCTAGAGGAGATCTGCATGGAGGAATGGGCCAAAATACCAGCAACAGTGTGTGAAAACCTTGTGAAGACTTACAGAAAACGTTTGACCTGTGTCATTGCCAACAAAGGGTATATAACAAAGTATTGAGAAACTTTTGTTATTGACCAAATACTTATTTTCCACCATAATTTGCAAATAAATTCATTACAAATCCTACAATGTGATTTTCTGGATAAAAAATTCTCATTTTGTCTGTCATAGTTGGCGTGTACCTATGATGAAAATTACAGGCCTCTCTCATCTTTTTAAGTGGTAGAACTTGCACAATTGGTGGCTGACTAAATACTTTTTTTCCCCACTGTATAAGGTCCGGTGAACAGCAATAGGATAGTTCGGAGGTAGGTCGGGGGCTGCTAAAGCACTAGCGAGCAAGAGGGCACGGCTAGCGTGTGCTAGCAGGCCGGGGCTAGCAGATGGAATCTTCGTGGTCAACGTCGTAACGGGAAGCCTGTTGTAAAATCTACCTCATCAGACGATTTCGTCGGCAGACCAGTCGTGTAGGATCGGCTGGGCTCCGTGTCAACACTAGGTGTTCCCGTCCGGTTGACAGAGAGGTAGATAGCCGGGAGATGGGAGATGGGAGATGGGCCTAGCTCAGGATGATTAGCCAGACCTCAACGTCCATTTTGTTGCAGCTAGCTGGTAGCGATGAATCCGGAGTTAAAGGTCCAGTGATTCAGTGATTCCGGCAGAAAAACTGATATGTTCTGGGTCGATAACGCGCTGTGCAGACAGTGCAGACTGGCCGAATAATAGTCCAGACTACAGCTGGCTGGTAGGTGGTGCAGGCCACGGACAATGGTGAAAAACCGCTAACGGTAGCTGATAGCAAGTAGCTAGTTAGCTGGCTACTCCCGTCCGGTAGACCTAGAGGTAGATAGCCGGGATATGAGCCTGGCTCTAGGCTAGCTCGAGGCTAACTGGTGCTTGCGTCGGGGGCAGTGGTGATTAGCCAAACAGCAACATCCATTCGGTTGCGGCTAGCTAGTTGCGATCCGGTGATTAATGTCCAGTGATTAAATTATTCCGGCAGAAAATCCAATGTTCTGGATGAAATAGCAACTGTGGCTAATAGCAAGTAGCTAGTTAGCTGGCTAGCTAGTTTCAACTGGAGATTCTAGATAAAAGGTAAGTCAATAATAGAATCCGTTCCACACAAGTCTGATAGGAAAATATGTACGAAAAAAACTGGGTATTTACAGGCTATTTACAGACACACGACAAAAACAGGACTGCACTACTACGCCATCTTGATGAAACAGCGGTAAAAGTTGGCAAAAACCTTTGTAGTCACTTTATGATGGTTGGGACTGGCCATGACCTGACCGCATCTACCTTCCTCTCCTCCATAACCACTCCCTGCGGGCTCATCCGATATATCCCAAGAAGGAGACGGCGACCTGATGGAACTGGCACTTCTCCGCTTTCACATACAGATGGTTCTCCAGGAGGCGTCCCAGGACTACCCGGACCTGGGCGATGTGCTCCTCCGAGATGGACGAGTAAATCAGGATGCCGTCGATATACACTAACGGTCAAACATTTTAGAACACCTACTCATTCAAGAGTTTTTCTTTATTTTTGTACATTGTAGAATAATAGTGAAGACATCAAAACTATGAAATAACACATATGGAATCATGTAGTAACCAAAAAAGTGTTAAACAAATCAAAATATATTTTATATTTGAGATTCTTCACCCTTTGCCTTGATGACAGCTTTGCACACTCTTGGCATTCTCTCAACCAGCCTCATGAGGTAGTCACCTGGAATGCATTTCAATTAACAGGTGTGCCTATATTAACAAGATAGCCCTATTTGGTAAAATACCAAGTCCATATTATGGTAAGAACAGCACAAATAAGCAAAGAGACTTTACTTTAAGACATGAAGGTCAGTCAATACGGAAAACTTCAAGAACTTTGAAGGTTTCTTCAAGTGCAGTCGCAGAAACCATCAAGCGCTATGATGAAACTTGCTCTCATGAGGACCGCCACAGGAATGAAAGACACAGAGTTACCTCTGCTGCAGAGTATAAGTTCATTGGAGTTACCAGCCTCAGAAATTGCAGCCCAAATAAATGCATCACAGAGTTCAAGTAACAGACACATCTCAACATCAACTGTTCAGTCAGGAGACTGTGTGAATCAGGCCTTCATTGCTGCAAATAAACCACTACTAAAGGACACCAATAAGAAGAAGAGACTTGCTTGGGCCAAGAAACACGAGCAATGGACATTAGACCGGTGGAAATCTGTCCTTTGGTCTGGAGTCCAAATTTGAGATTTTTGGTTCCAACTTCCATGTCTTTGTGAGACGCTGCGTGGGTGAACGGATGATCTCCGCATGTGTATTTCCCACCGTAAAGCATGGAAGAGCAGGTGTTATGGTGTGGGGGTGCTTTGCTGGTGACACTGTCTGTGATTTATTTAGAATTCAAGGCACACTTAACCAGCATGGCTACCACAGCATTCTTAGTGGGACTATCATTTGTTTTTCAACAGGATAATGACCCAACACACCTCCAGGCTGTGTAAGGGCTATTTTACCAAGAAGGAGAGTGATGGAGTGCTGCATCAGATTACCTGGCCTCCACAATCCCCTGACCTCAACCAAATTGAGATGGTTTGGGATGAGTCGGACCGCAGAGTGAAGGAAAAGCAGCCAACAAGTGCTCACCATATGTGGGAACCAGGTGAAGCTGGTTGAGAGAATGCCAAGAGTGTACAAAGCTGTCATCAAGGCAAATGGTGGCTTTTTGAAGAATATCAAATGTATAATATGTTTTGATTTGTTTAACACTTTTTTGGTTACTACATGATTCCATTATTGTTATTTCATAGTTTTGATGTCTTCACTATTATTCTACAATGTAGAAAATAGTAAAAATAAAGAAAAACCCTTGAATGAGTAGGTGCCCAAGGATGTCCTGAAAAACCCTGTTCACGAATTCCTGGAACACCGACAGAGCATTGGCTAAACCTTAAGGCATCACCAAGTATTAGTAGTGCCCAGACACTGTGCTGAAGGCCGTCTTCCATTCATCCTCCTCACGGATGCGGATCAAATTGTAGGCACTCCGCAGGTCCAGCTTTGTAAAAAACTGGGCCCCGCGTAGCTGTTCAATGGTGGCCAGCACCAACGGGAGGGGGTAGCGGTACTTGGTGGTGATGGCATTGAGACCTTTGTAGTCAATACACAGATTAAGACCCCCCTTCTTCTTGGCCACGAAGAAGAAACCAGCCGATGCAGTGGAGATGGATGGGTGAATGAAACCCTGTTGAAGAGCCTCCTGGATGTACTCCTCCATAGCCTTGGTTTCAGCCACCGACAGTGGATAGATGCGGCTGCGCAGAGGCGCAGAGTCTGTTAGAAGGTTGATGGCAAAGTCAACAGGGAAATAACTGTGGCAACCTTGGACCTCTCGGTGGTGGGGGCTCCCGTTTGATGAGAAAGATAGAGTAAGCACTGGAGGAGGAAGCCACAGCATTTGGTTGGAGTCCCATTTTCTTCAACGAGGCGTTCGCAAAGGATATTCTACAGACACCCAACAAGGCCCAGATCCCCGTCATTCGCGTGAGGAAGAGACGGAGATATCGTGGACGCAGATCCGGGTGCCTTGTAAGGATCCGACGGCGTGCGAGTAAACTGCCTCTCCCATCAATCCTATTAGCCAACGTTCAATCTTTTGAGAATAAAATTGACGATTTAAGATTACGGTTATCCTACCAACGGGACATTAAAAACTGTAATATCTTAGAAACCCTAGACCCACTCCAATTTGCATACCGCCCCAACAGATCCACAGATGATGCAATCTCTATCGCACTCCACACTGCCCTTTCCCACCTGGACAAGAGGAACACCTACGTGAGAATGCTATTCATTGACTACAGCTCAGCATTCAACACCATAGTGCCCTCTAAGCTCATCACTAAGCTAAGGATCCTGGGACTAAACACCTCCCTCTGCAACTGGATCCTGGACTTCCTGACGGGCCACCCCCAGGTGGTAAGGGTAGGTAACAACACATCTGCCATACTAATCCTCAACACGGGGGCCCCTCAGAGGTGCGTGCTCAGTCCCCTCCTGTACTCTCTGTTCACCCATGACTGCATGGCCAGGCACGACTCCAACACCATCATTAAGTTTGCCGACGACACAACAGTGGTAGGCCTGATCACCGACAACGATGAGACAGCCTATAGGGAGGAGGTCAGAGATCTGGCCGTGTGGTGCCAGGACAACAACCTCTCCCTCAACGTGACCAAGACAAAGGAGATGATTGTGGACTACAGGAAAAAAAAGAGGACTGAGCACGCCCCCATTCTCATCGACGGGGCTGTAGTGGAACAGGTTGAGAGCTTCAAGTTCCTTGGTGTCCACATCACCAACGAACTATCATGGTCCAAACACACCAAGACAGTCGTGAAGAGGGCACGACAAAGCCTATTCCCCCTCAGGAGACTAAAAAGATTTGGCATGGGTCCTCAGATCCTCAAAAAATTCTACAGCTGCACCATCGAGAGCATCCTGACTGGTTGCATCACCGCCTGGTATGGCAACTGCTTGGCCTCTGACCGCAAGGCACTACAGAGGGTAGTGCGTACGGCCCAGTAAATCACTGGGGCAAAGCTCCCTGCCATCCAGGACCTCTATACCAGGCGGTGTCAGAGGAAGGCCCTCAAAATTGTCAAAGACTCCAGCCACCCTAGTCATAGACTGTTCTCTCTGCTACCGCACGGCAAGCGGTACCGGAGTGCCAAGTCTAGGTCCAAAAGACTTCTCAACAGCTTCTACCCCCAAGCCATAAGACTCCTGAACAGCTAATCATGGCTACCCGGAATATTTGCACTGCCCCCCCCACCCCATCCTTTTTACGCTGCTGCTACTCTGTTAAGTATTTATGCATAGTCACTTTAACTCTACCCACATGTACATATTACCTCAACTACCTCAACTAGCCGGTGCCCCCGCACATTGACTATGCAACGGTACCCCCCTGTATATATAGCCTCCCTACTGTCACTTTATTTTACTGTATATATAGCCTCCCTACTGTCACTTTATTTTACTTCTGCTCTTTTTTTCTCAACACTTTTTTGTTGTTGTTTTATTCTTACTTTTTTTGTTTAACCCTTGTGCTTTGCTGGAAAAAAATGACATCCATTATGTTACGGGTCAAATTGACCCGCACAGTTTAAACACACTCAAGACAGTCAAAGAATTAAGTAAAAACAGAAACAACTTTATTTTGTCTTATCAGACATTTCAGAAAGAAGAAATACAATACTTTTTATTTTTTTTAAACAATATTTAAGAACTATTTGTTAAACATATTTCATTTCTCACAAACAAGATTTTTCAGTTTCCCCAAGTAGGTTTTTTCCCCCCCTATTGGTCCATATTATCCCTTCAGTCTTTCTCTCTACATGTTGAACACAATGTGTGTGTGTGCTTTCTGCAGATGTATTTATTGCATTCTACACAAGTGGTGCTTGTTTTACTGTCTTGTCGAGGGGGGCAGAGCTGGCATCTTTTCCGTTTCTTGCCACTGCCTGTATCCACTGGATCCATTTCTGGTTGATTGGAGGCATGTGTTGATGGTCCAGCTTGAATTTTCTGGACGGCAGATGCAGCTGCTGTCGACCGAGGAGGCCGGACTCTCCTCTGGATCTTGGGAGTGATGAGAGCTTTGCCGAGCTCCTCTAGGAAAAGCCGGCGTCGGTACAATTTGCCACCATTCCATTGCTGGTTGATTTCAGTCCACAGGACATAGGCATTGTAAGCAGACACATCCACAATGTTGTAGAAAATCACCAAAGGCCAGCGGGCAGTCATGCGCTGACAACTATATGTTGCTGTGACTTTATCCAAATTGTCAACTCCTCCTTTGGTGGAATTGTAGTCCAGTATTATTTGTGGCTTGATGTCCTCTCTTGCACTCAGCGATGCATCTTTGTGCATTGTGCTCATTACAAGAACATTCTTGTTCTTCTTTGGGCAGTATGAAACAACAGTTGCATTTTCAGAGAAAGCAAATTTAGAGGAATGCACAGTTCTGCCCTGCATTTTCAGAAGCTCACTGGGAAGTTCAGGTTTGTTTTTTCTGATTGTTCCAACCATGGTCAGCTTTCTCTTCTGTAGTTCAACACCAAGGCGGGTAGGATGTGAAGAAGTTGTCACACGTGATGTTATGACCTTGCAGCCCTTCACTCATGTCCAGCACCACCCGCATCCCCTGGTTTTTCTCAGGCACTCCGCCGGGTGGCTTCCCAGTGTAAACTTGCATATTCCATGCATAGCTTGATGTGGCATCACATGCTGCCCATATTTTGATGCCACATTTTGCAGGCTTGTTTGGCATATACTGTCTGAAGGGACAACGTCCTCTGAATGGAACAAGGCGTTCATCAACTGTAACATGAGGACTGGGATTGTACAGTAACGGTAGAATTTCCACCCATTTATCCCATACATCTCTGATTGCAGCTAGTTTGTCTCTTTCACGTCGACCCGGTCTGGTATCACGGTTATCAAAGCGAATCACCCGAGAAATTATGTGGAATTCTTGTAGAGACATTGTTGCCCGAAATATTGGCCTTCCATTCTCTTCATTCCACAGGCTGGCCGTTGCTTCTCCGTTTGACCGGTAGACTCCAGCTAATATGAGCAATCCAATGTATGCATGCAAGTCAATCCGATCCAGTGGCTTCCAGTTCTCTTGAAACACACGGCTCCCCTCCAAGTTGGTCATGTCCAGAACAATCTTCTCTATTGCTTGGGGTAAAAAGAGCTCAAAAGCTGATTGTATGTCATGGACTCGAGTGACAGCAAATCGTGTAGGTCCTGGAACCATTTTTATTACATTGGAAGCTGAGAGTCTACCTTGACCTCGTTGTGGTGACGGTGACCATTCAATATGACCATCTTTAGACTTCCATGTCTTCTCTTCTCTTGATGATGCTTGTTGCATGCTCTGTCTCTCATCTGATGTAGGGGATGGTACGGCAGACTCCTCCTCTGAATCCTCTTCAATGAAGACAAAATCTGGATCATCAACAGCATTGTCCTCTATCTCTGAAATATCCTCTGTCTCTGAAACCTCTTCTTCTTTTTCACTGTCACAGTCCAGAATTTGTGATAAGACTTCATTGATTGAAAATCTTTTGGAGCTCATTTTTGAGTGCCTGTGTCAGGGACCTGCTGCTCTCACACTGAGGAGAAGCTTGGGAAAGCCCTTTTTAACCCAAACACAATTCTAAAAGTGCAACCAGGACCAGTCAAAACAAAATAAATCAAAGACACTTTTTTGTTTTGCACCTGTGCAAATATATATACACATGAAAGCCTCCGGGTCAAAATGACCCACAACATCATGTTTGTATACAAAATGTACACAGACATTCCACAACACATCAGTGTGTCCACATTTTGCAGTTAGGTTCATGACCCTAAATGAGGAAAAGTCATGTAATTTCATGGCGAAAAAGAGTGGTTAACTAGTATTTTAGACAACGCAAAAGTGGAAACGGGTCAAATTGACCCACAACATAATAGGAGGGTTAAAATAAATGCACTGTTGGTTAAGGGCTGTAAGTAAGCATTTCACTGTAATGTCTGCACCTGTTGTATTCGGCGCATGTGACCAATAAAATTTGATTTGATGATTTGATTTGATCATATTTGTCTGGAAGGGACAAACGGGCATCGCTGACCTGGGCTGACTGCTGAATGGGCTGGTGTGCTGGCTCACTGTGTCGACTCATGGTAGAGGATCCTCCGCTCATTGGGGGTGACGCCCCTTGGGGAAGATATAGACGTTGAAGAACGCGAGGGACCTCATCCATCGCCATCCCCAGTTGCGCCAGCTGATCGTGGTGTTGGCAAAGTAGGTCTCCCTGTTCGTTGACCATCTGGGAGATGTCTCGGTTGGCTACTGCTTCCATTCTGTGAAGCAATATTCTGTAACGTAGACACAGGGAGTCAGGAAGCAAGTGCAAGTGAGTTTAATGACGAAGAACATTGACCAATACAAAGGGCCTATAAGCAAGATACATGCCTCTGCAACACTGGGAATACCAGCCAGGACCTTGGCTCCTTCAATGCAGATCCCATGCTCTGAATTCCGATGCAAATCCATCACCATGGACACCTTCAGCACATGCTGAGCGAGGTCCTCTTGGATTATGTTGTCGTCGGCATCCTGAGAAGTAAAAAACAAAGTAAATTAGATCCACCAAATCAAGCTGTGCCACTTGAGGGAGGGAGGAGAGAGAGAAGTGGGATAAAAAGGGACATACCTAAATAACTAAAGCTATGAAATAGAAAATAGAAAAGCCTTTACCTTTTATTCCTTGATAAGGTCCTCAACCCTTTTGCCGAGGTATATGATCAGGCCACGGATCACCCAGTCTCTTCTTTCCTCTATGTAGGCTGGACAATAGAATGAGTCAAAATTCACCCAAGGCTGAAAAACGGGCAAAGAACGTTGGTTGAGCTGGAACACTAACGTGAGGCCATAGCAAATGAATTGAAACAAACCGTCGCTGAGCCTCTTTTGACTGGAATGATCCTTAGAATTCAATTTTCTCTATATGGCACCAAAAAATGTATACCTTTTCATTTTACCACTACAATCTGTTTTTAGGACGAAAGCAAACATTCACACCTCGATGGTGCCAAGTGTGCTTACGTCTGCATAACGAGGAAGTAGGAAATAAATGGAAACTATTTCTGGTCTAGCGATTGATGATAACAGAGTACGCTGCTCAGCCTTACATAATTAGAAAGAGGAGATTCTCATGATTAAAATGGTGCCCGACTTGAAAAATATCAAAATATACACATTGTGAGATATTTGCGGAACTACACCAGCATGCCTCTCCATTGGAAAACAATGGGGGGAGCTCAGCGTTTCAAAGGCAAAAAGTATTTTGGGTCTAGCGTTTGATGACAACGGAGTACTCTGCCTAGCCTTACATAATTAGAAAGAGGAGATTCTCATGATTAAAATGGTGCCCGACTTGAAAAAAATCAAAATATACACATTGCGAGATATTTGGCGAAATAGACATACGTCTGTGTAGAATTTTCCCATAGGGAAACAATGCGGCACCCTCAGAGTTCCAACAATAATGTTTACTTCTTTACATTTTAAATGCAAGCTTTTGATGACAATGGAGTACGCTGCCCAGCCTTACATAATTAGAAAAAGGAGATTATCCTGATTAAAATGGTGTCTGACTTGAAGAAATCAAGATATTCACATTGCAAGATATTTTGTGAAATAAACAGACATACCTATATTTCCCCTATAGGAAACAATGGGACGACAGAGTTCCATTAGTAATTTTTGTTGTTGTTGACGTCAACACACCAGCAGTTGGTAACAGCATGGTATGCTGCCCAAACTTACATCATTAGAAATAATAGGTTATCCTGATTTAAAATGGTGTAGAATTTCAAACCATTAAAATACATACATTTTGAGATATTTGGCGAAATAGACAGACATGTCCAAATTTCCCCAAAACAATGGCAGTCTGAAAGTTCTAAGAACAGTCTTTTAATTTAACCAGCTTACCATTTATCTACTAACATCTGCCTTTTTGTGTTTAACATTTTGTGGTTTGTAATCTAGCGGTTAAGGGCGTTGGGCAGTAACCGAAAGGTGGCTGGTTCGAATCCCCGAACAGACTAGGTGAAAAATCTGTCGATGTACCCTTGAGCAAGGCACTTAACCCTAGTCACTCTGGATAAGAGTGTCTGCTAAATGACTAAAATGTAAATGTAAACTAGGCCTCTATGTGAAAACGTGGCAATAACTTATTAACTTTTCATTATTCACAGATCTACTCCTCTGATGAGATGGCACGCAGGCAGACAGACTCCTCTGATGGCAAGCAGGCAGCACACTCCTGAAAACGAACTGCTCAGCAAAGCAAAGGCTCTTTTGAGAGCTACAATATTTTAATTTTTTTAAAGCTCATTTTCAGTGTCTGTGTTTATATGTTAAGGGTGTGTTACTTTGGCAGATACAGTGGGGGAAAAAAGTATTTAGTCAGCCACCAATTGTGCAAGTTCTCCCACTTAAAAAGATGAGGCCTGTAATTTTCATCATAGGTACACGTCAACTATGACAGACAAATTGAGATTTTTTTTTCTCCAGAATATCACATTGTAGGATTTTTTATGAATTTATTTGCAAATTATGGTGGAAAATAAGTATTTGGTCACCTACAAACAAGCAAGATTTCTGGCTCTCACAGACCTGTAACTTCTTATTTAAGAGGCTCCTCTGTCCTCCACTCGTTACCTGTATTAATGGCACCTGTTTGAACTTGTTATCAGTATAAAAGACACCTGTCCACAACCTCAAACAGTCACACTCCAAACTCCACTATGGCCAAGACCAAAGAGCTTTCAAAGGACACCAGAAACAAAATTGTAGACCTGCACCAGGCTGGGAAGACTGAATCTGCAATAGGTAAGCAGCTTGGTTTGAAGAAATCAACCGTGGGAGCAATTATTAGGAAATGGAAGACATACAAGACCACTGATAATCTCCCTCGATCTGGGGCTCCACGCAAGATCTCACCCCATGGGGTCAAAATAATCACAAGAACGGTGAGCAAAAATCCCAGAACCACACGGGGGGACATAGTGAATGACCTGCAGAGAGCTGGGACAAAAGTAACAAAGCCTACCATCAGTAACACAATACGCCGCCAGGGACTCAAATCCTGCAGTACCAGACGTGTCCCCCTGCTTAAGCCAGTACATGTCCAGGCCCATCTGAAGTTTGCTAGAGTGCATTTGGATGATCCAGAAGAGGATTTGGAGAATGTCATATGGTCAGATGAAACCAAAATAGAACTTTTTGGTAAAAACTCAACTCGTCGTGTTTGGAGGACAAAGAATGCTGAGTTGCATACAAAGAACACCATACCTACTGTGAAGCATGGGGGTGGAAACATCATGCTTTGGGGCTGTTTTTCTGCAAAGGGACCAGGACGACTGATCCGTGTAAAGGAAAGAATGAATGGGGCCATGTATCGTGAGATTTTGAGTGAAAACCTCCTTCCATCAGCAAGGGCATTGAAGATGAAACGTGGCTGGGTCTTTCAGCATGACAATGATCCCAAACACACCGCCCGGGCAACGAAGGAGTGACTTCGTAAGAAGCATTTCAAGGTCCTGGAGTGGCCTAGCCAGTCTCCAGATCTAAACCCCATAGAAAATCTTTGGAGGGAGTTGAAAGTCCGTGTTGCCCAGCGACAGCCCCAAAACATCACTGCTCTAGAGGAGATCTGCATGGAGGAATGGGCCAAAATACCAGCAACAGTGTGTGAAAACCTTGTGAAGACTTACAGAAAACGTTTGACCTGTGTCATTGCCAACAAAGGGTATATAAGAAAGTATTGAGAAATACTTATTTTCCACCAAAATTTGCAAATAAATTCATTAAAAATCCTACAATGTGATTTTCTGGAGAAAAAAAATCTCATTTTGTCTGTCACAGTTGACGTTTACCTATGATGAAAATTACAGGCCTCTCTCATCTTTTTAAGTGGGAGAACTTGCACAATTGGTGGCTGTCTAAATACTTTTTTACCCCACTGTAATGTCACTCATTTAAATAAATAGTTAAAAATAAAATAAAAATGTATGGTGTTTGCCAGTTTCAATGTTTGCTATGCTATACATTTATTTTATTTTATATTTAACCTTTATTTAACTAGGCAAGTCAGTTAAGAAAAAAATATTATTTACAATGACGGCCTACCAAAAGGCAAAAGGCCTCCTGCGGGGAAAGGATTAAAATAAATAAATATATTGTAAGTTCCCAATAATGTTTGTACCATGTCTTGTGCTGCTACCATGTTGTGCTGCTGCCATGTTGTGTTGCTACTATGTTGTTTTCATGTTGGGTTGCCACCATGCTGTGTTGTCCTGTGTTGCTGCCATGCTATGTTGTTGTCTTAGGCCTCTCTTTATGTAGTGTTGTGTTGTCTCTCTTGTTGTGATGTGTGTTTGGTCCTATATATACAGTGGGGAGAACAAGTATTTGATACACTGACGATTTTGCAGGTTTTCCTACTTACAAAGCACGTAGAGGTCTGTAATTTTTATCATAGGTACAAAAATCCAGAAAATCACATTGTATGATTTTTAAGTACTTAATTTGCATTTTAATGCATGACATAAGTATTTGATACATCAGAAAAGCAGAACTTAATATTTGGTACAGAAACCATTGTTTGCAATTACAGAGATCATACGTTTCCTGTAGGTCTTGACCAGGTTTGCACACACTGCAGCAGGGATTTTGGCCCACTCCTCCATACAGACCTTCTCCAAATCCTTCAGGTTTCGAGGCTGTTGCTGGGCAATACGGACTTTCAGCTCCCTCCAAAGATTTTCTATTGGGTTCAGGTCTGGAGACTGGCTAGGCCACTCCAGGACCTTGAGATGCTTCTTACGGAGCCACTCCTTAGTTGCCCTGGCTGTGTGTTTCGGGTCGTTGTCATGCTGGAAGACCCAGCCACGACCAATCTTCAATGCTCTTACTGAGGGAAGGAGGTTGTTGGCCAAGATCTCGCGATACATGGCCCCATCCATCCTCCCCTCAATACGGTGCAGTCGTCCTGTCCCCTTTGCCGAAAAGCATCCCCAAAGACTGATGTTTCCACCTCCATGCTTCACGGTTGGGATGGTGTTCATGAGGTTGTACTCATCCTTCTTCTTCCTCCAAACACGGCGAGTGGAGTTTAGACCAAAAAGCATTTTTGTCTCATCAGACCACATGACCTTCTCCCATTCCTCCTCTGGATCATCCAGATGGTCATTGGCAAACTTCAGACGGGCCTGGACATGCGCTGGCTTGAGCAGGGGGACCTTGCGTGCGCTGCAGGATTTCAATCCATGACGGCGTAGTGTGTTACTAATGGTTTTCTTTGAGACTGTGGTCCCAGCTCTCTTCAGGTCATTGACCAGGTCCTGTCGTGTAGTTCTGGGCTGATACCTCACCTTCCTCATGATCATTGATGCCCCACGAGGTGAGATCTTGCATGGAGCCCCAGACGAGGGTGATTGACCGTCACCTTGAACTTCTTCCATTTTCTAATAATTGCGCCAACAGTTGTTGCCTTCTCACCAAGCTGCTTGCCTATTGTCCTGTAGCCCATCACTGCCATGTACAGGTCTACAATTTTATCCCTGATGTCCTTACACAGCTCTCTGGTCTTGGCAATTGTGGAGAGGTTGGAGTCTGTTTGTTTGAGTGTGTGGACAGGTGTCTTTTATACAGGCAACGAGTTCAAACAGGTGCCGTTAATACAGGTAATGAGTGGAGAACAGGAGGGCTTCTTAAAGAAAAACGAACAGGTCTGTGAGAGCCGGAATTCTTACTGGTTGGTAGGTGATCAAATACTCATGTCATGCAATAAAATGCAAAATAATTACTTAAAAATCATACAATGTGATTTTCTGGATTTTTGTTTCAGATTCCGTCTCTCACAGTTGAAGTGTACCTATGATAAAAATTACAGACCTCTACATGCTTTGTAAGTAGGAAACACTGCCGATTTTGCAGGTTATCAAATACTTGTTCTCCCCACTGTATATATATATGACCAATAATAACAATTATCAGTAAGCCTGAACTTTAATTCAGTCACCTGTGTCCGACAAAAACGTATTTTCCTAGTACATTCATTGTCAAATTCATCAACCAGCATCGACCCGCTCTGTCTTCTCGCAAAAGTAGCCAACTCAACAAGCCACGCCAAAAGCTTGTGACATCAGCGGCAGAAATCACTCTGCCTTCTCGCGCAAGCGAGGGGCATGTTGAGGTAAATTTGCTAACCGCCAGGGTTGCAGAATGTAATTCATTGGCGGGCTGGAAGACACACTCGTCTTTTGTATTCCGAGGCTGTTTACTACCAATATGATACGTTAAGAGGGTGTTTTTATAATTCATGTCTACTAGGGTTGAGGTTAGTGCATCTGACTAGTGATTATTTGGCTGGGGTTAAATACCTACTATAGTCAGTATTTTTTTGCTCACCCAAAAGCAACACAGGCTTAATACGAGATATATAACTAACTGTAAAGTAAAGGGTGACCATTTTAGAAAATCATGGGACATATAGTCTTTGGTTGCATGTGCTTTTATGTCAATCATTTTGCTGTTATAGCCTATAACTGATGCTTCGTGGTCTTATGCTGCCATCTATTGGAAATATTTAGCAATTCAAAGTTATTAATTCACATAAAGACATTGGTGAGGCAGCTGAGAAATAAAGTGTATTTTTCTTATTAATTCCTGAGATCAGTCTCAAACCTGCCCCGACTATCCCAGCCAATTGCTGGACTTTCACATATACAGTGAGGGAAAAAAGTATTTGATCCCCTGCTGATTTTGTACGTTTGCCCACTGATGAAGACATGATCAGTCTATAATTTTAATGGTATGTTTATTTGAACAGTGAGAGACAGAATAACAACAAAAAAATCCAGAAAATCACATGTCAAAAATGTTATGAATTGATTTGCATTTTAATGGGGGAAATAAGTATTTGACCCGTCTACAAAACATGACTTAGTACTTGGTGGCAAAACCCTTGTTGGCAATCACAGAGGTCAGATGTTTCTTGTAGTTGGCCACCAGGTTTGCACACATCTCAGGAGGGATTTTATCCCAGTCCTCTTTGCAGATCTTCTCGAAGTCATTAAGGTTTCGAGGCTGACATTTGGCAACTCGAACCTTCAGCTCCCTCCACAGATTTTCTATGGGATTAAGGTCTGGAGACTGGCTAGGCCACTCCAGGACCTTAATGTGCTTCTTCTTGAGCCACTCCTTTGTTGCCTTGGCCGTGTGTTTTGGGTCATTGTCATGCTGGAATACCCATCCACGACCCATTTTCAATGCCCTGGCTGAGGGAAGGAGGTTCTCACCCAAGATTTGATGGTACATGGCCCCGTTCATCATCCCTTTGATGCGGTGAAGTTGTCCTGTCCCCTTAGCAGAAAAACACCCCCAAAGCATAATGTTTCCACCTCCATGTTTGATGGTGGGGATGGTGTTCTTGGGGTCATATGCAGCATTCCTCCTCCTCCAAACACGGCAAGTTGATGGCAAAGAGCTCGATTTTGGTCTCATCTGACCACAACACTTTCACCCAGTTCTCCTCTGAATCATTCAGATTTTCATTGGCAAACTTCAGACGGGCCTGTATATGTGCTTTCTTGAGCAGGGGGACCTTGCGGGCACTGCAGGATTTCAGTCCTTCACGGCGTAGTGTGTTACCAATTGTTTTCTTGGTGACTATGGTCCCAGCTGCCTTGAGATCATTGACAAGATCCTCCCGTGTAGTTCTGGGCTGATTCCTCACCGTTCTCATGATCATTGCAACTCCACGAGGTGAGATCTTGCATGGAGCCCCAGGCCGAGGGAGATTGACAGTTCTTTTGTGTTTCTTCCATTTGCGAATAATCGCACCAACTGTTGTCACCTTCTCACCAAGCTGCTTGGCGATGGTCTTGTAGCCCATTCCAGCCTTGTGTAGGTCTACAATCTTGTCCCTGACATCCTTGGAGAGCTCTTTGGTCTTGGCCATGGTGGAGATTTTGGTATCTGATTGATTGATTGCTTCTGTGGACAGCTTTAAGCGTGTGCTCCTAATCTCAGCTCGTTACCTGTATAAAAGACACTTGGGAGCCAGAACTCTTTCTGATTGAGAGGGGGTCAAATACTTATTTCCCTTATTAAAATGCAAATCAATTTATAACATTTTTGACATGCGTTTTTCTGGATTTTGTTGTTGTTATTCTGTCTCTCACTGTTCAAATAAACCTACCATTAAAATTATAGAATGATCATGTCTTTGTCAGTGGGCAAACGTACAAAATCAGCAGGGGATCAAATACTTTTTTCCCCTCAGTGTAGGTTACTAGGTCACACCCAGTTCAAATCACATTTGAAAAATAAAAATAAAATGTGGCTTGTTTATAAAGTGTTCTGCTTTGCAATAATAAATATAATAAGATAACTAACAGAAAAACAGCCAAATGTTTACATAGGTTTTGATTTAAAAAAGAACAATCAAAATGCTATTTATTACTATAATGGTATTTACTAACATAATATTATTACAAAAATAGTTTCTAAAAGTGTTCTACGCTACCCTACCCAAGAATTAGGGTTAGGGTTAAGGCTAAAATAGGTTATACCAAGGGTTAGGGTTATGGTTAGGGTTGCCATTAGGGTTAGAAAAAATCGTGACCATTACAGCTATAGGTGCATTGTGTTACCAGTCAGGGTTAGGGTTAGAATTACCATGACTATTACAGCTATAGCTGCATTGTGTTACAAGTCAGGATTAAGGTTAGGTTTAGGGTTAGGGTTAGAAAAATGGTGTTCATTACAGCTATAGGTGCATTGTGTTACAAGTCAGGGTTAGAGTTAGGTTTAGGGTTAGGGTTAGAAAAATGGTGACCATTGCAGCTATAGGTGCATTGTATTACCAGTCAGGGTTATGGTTATGGTTACCATTACAGCTGTAAGTGCATTGTGTTACCAGTCAGGGTTACAGTTAGTGTTAGGGTTAGAATTATCGTGACCATTATAGCTGTAGGTGCATTGTGTTTTAAGTCAGGGTTAGGTTTAGGGTTAGAAAAATTGTGACCATTACAGCGATAGGTGCACTGTGTTACCAGTCAGGGTTAGGGTTAAGGTTAAAATAGGTTATATGTAGGTTTAGGGTTTTTAAGTCCAAAAACAGTATGGGTTTATAGCTCTCTTGCTCCTCCCTGTGGCCTTCTGTGGGTACTACGTAACTAATTTGTGACACTTGCTAGGCTCATAATCTGAGGTAGCAACTGCGTCAGATCTACAAATCAATGAGCTAGACCTATCCATTTGGTTTGCAACTCAGTGAACCTGCGCAGCATTCGCTCTATTCGATGCTTCCGAACAAACAGATTTTGACGCATATCAAATTAAAAAGGTTATTTCTTAATTAAAAAATGTATTCTGGCTGTTTAAATCAGCCACGTCTTGAAAAAGAGGACAGGGACATGCGTTTTGTTTAGGTTTACACTTTCTTCTGAAAGAAATATGGTTAACCATGACCAGAAAATGTTTAACGTTAACCAGCCATCGTTAGCACTGTGGGTCACAACAACATGTACCCAGGCGAACAGTGAGCTGGCTCACCAAGTAGCCGTAACCTTGTTAATAATAAGTTACCTGAGGTAAGCCTCCGAGTTCAACGTGGGCAGGTCTCATTGCCAACAATAGTGAAGCAGGCATTGTGACGTAGAACAATGGGCTGGGAATAGAACGTTCTGAAGGCGAGTTGGTGCCACGGTGAAAAATGCCCTAAAATAAGGCCTGTTTTTTCGTGATTACTTCAAAATTATGGCAAGCACCTGGGACATATGGTAATATTATGAAACTGGGCTCAACGGCGGATGCAATTAACTAGTTTCTATCAGAAAAAAGTGTTGTTAAAAATGTCATGTGTCCAGCCTACTCTATGATGTTGCACGGTCATGTGGGAATACAAATAATTGTATTTACTACAGACAACTAAATAAATGTCACCAAATATAATTATTGACTGTACTGCGAATGTCTGTTGAGTGCATACCCTGTACTGCGCTTCCAGGATGCCCTGCAACTCCTCCTTTGCAGCACCTACTTTCGACATGAAGAAGGAAAACAGCCTTGGGGTGTATGGGTCCAGGTTCCCCATGAAGCTGGACTGAAGTCGGACGGTCGTGATTCTTCGGAACTCCTGTGAGAGAGAGAAAGAGAGGGAGAAAAAGAGAGACTTGTTACTGATGCATGTGATAAGTATCTAAAGTCAAGACAACAAGAATCATCAATCTTTACATTCATTATTTACGATTATAATTCAACTGTAATTTTACCTGAGTAGGCTGGAACAGGGCCGGCCATCTTTCTTTGAGATGAACTCACAGGAGGGCTCTTCACGACATCTTGTCTTCTATGTGAGAAGGTCTTGGACATTTTTTCACTCACACTGTTGTCTAATTTTTGTACTTTGCTGAGTAGCTCTACTTGCTTCTCTAGTGCCTCTTCTGTCTCACCAATGGGATGTGGCGGGAGGTAATTTACCTCTGCCTTCTTCGGCTTTTTTACGTTCTTGGCCGGAGTTCATTCGTCTGTTGGTATTCTCTTCATAGAGTTCACATCCAGCTCTGGGCATCCGATTACTCTCAGTTTTGCTCTGTAATTGCCCATCTTATACTTCAGGCTGCATTGCCACCCGTACATGCCTGAGAAGGACTCAGGCTCCTTAAGGCACAGTCGCTTTTGTACCAAGGCTTCTGCAACTTGGCATATCTGTAGACTTGAAGAATAGGCTGTAAACTGGAATATACTTTCAGACAGTCTCTCCAGGATGCCGGACTTCACACCCGGACTGTTGAGTAGTGTTCCATCCTTTCTGTACGGTTCATTTGCTGCCTCAAGAACAAGCTCTGTGTCGTAAGCAAAGCAAGGAATTTCAAACTGAGATGGCTAAGGATGTAAATGTTGGGATGAGGTACTATATCACAGGACCCAGAGAAGCAGGTGTCATCCAATAGCATGGTATAGAGGGTGTCCAATACTTATTGTAGATTCGGGGGGGTAGGCATACAGTTGAAGTCGGTAGGCATACAGTTGAAGTCGGAAGTTCATATACCTTAGCCAAATACATTTCAACTCAGTTTTCCAAAATTCCTGAAATTTCATCCTAGTAAAAATGTCCTGTCTTAGGTCAGTTAGGATCACCACTTTATTTTAAGAATGTGAAATGTCAGAATAATAGTAGAGAGAATTATTTATTTCAGCTTTAATTTATTTCATCACATTCCCAGTGGGTCAGAAGTTTACATACACTCAATTAGTATTTGGTAGCACTGCCTTTAAATTGTTTAACTTGGGTCAAACGTTTCGGGTAGCCTTCCACAAGCTTCCCACAATAAATTGGGTGAATTTTGGCCCATTCCTCCTGACAGAGCTGGTGTAACTGAGTCAGGTTTGTAGGTCTCCTTGTTCGCACACACTTAGTCAGTTCTGCCCACAAATGTTCTATAGGATTGAGGTCAGGGCTTTGTGATGGCCACTCCAATACCTTGACTTTGTTGTCCTTAAGCCATTTTGCCACAACTTTGGAAGTATGCTTGGATTCATTGTCCATTTGGAAGACTCATTTGCGACCAAGTTTTAACTTCCTGACTGATGTCTTGAGATGCTGCTTCAATATATTTACATAATTTTCCTTCCTGATGATTCCATCTATTTTCTGAAGTGCACCAGTCTCTCCTGCAGCAAAGCAACCCCACAGCATGATGCTGCCACCCCCGTGCTTCACGGTTGGGATGGTGTTCTTCGGCTTGCAAGCGTCCCCCTTTTTCCTCCAAACATAACAATGGTTATTATGGCCAAACAGTTTTATTTTTGTTTCATCAGACCAGAGGACATTTCTCAAAAGAGTACTATTTGTCCCCATGTGCAGTTGCAAACCATAGTCTGGCTTTTTTATGGCGGTTTTGGAGCAGTGGCTTCTTCCTTGCTGAGCGGCCTTTCAGGTTATGTCAATATAGGACTTGTTTTACTGTGGATATATATACTTTTGTTCCTGTTTCCTCCAGTATCTTCACAAGCTGTTGTTCTGGGATTGATTTGCACTTTTCGCACCAAAGTACGTTCATCTCTAGGAGACAGAACGCGTCTCCTTCCTGAGCGGTATGATGGCTGTGTGGTCCCATGGTGTTTATACTTGTGTACTATTGTTTGTACAGATGAACGTGGTACCTTCAGGCGTTTGGAAATTGCTCCCAAGGATGAACCAGACTTGTGGAGGTCTACAATTATTTTTCTTTTGATTTTCCCATGATGTCAAGCAAAGAGGCACTGAATTTGAAGTTAGGCCTTGAAATACATCCACAGGTACACGTCCAATTGACTCAAATGATGTCAATTAGAAGCTTCCAAAGCCATGACATCATTTTCTGGAATTTTCCAAGCTGTTTAAAGGCACAGTCAACTTAGTGTATGTAAACTTCTGACCCACTGGAATTGTGATACAGTGAATTATAAGTGAAACAATCTGTCTGTAAACAATTGTTGGAAGAATTACTTGTGTCATGCACAAAGTAAATGTCCTATCCGACTTGCCAAAACGATGATTTGTTAACAAGACATTTGTGGAGTGGTTGAAAAACAAGTTTTAATGACTCCAACCCAAGTGTATGTAAACGTCCGACTTCAACTGTATACAGTACATACACTGAGTGTACAAAACATTAGGAACACCTCCCTAATATTGAGTTGCACCCCCTTTTGCCCTCAGAACAGCCTCAATTTGTCAGGGCATGGACTCTACAAGGTGTTGAACGCGTTCCCCAGGGATGCTGGCCCACGTTGATTCCAATGCTTCCCACAGTTTTGTCAAGTTTGCTGGATGTCCTTTGGGTGTTGGACCATTCTTGATACACACGGGAAACTGTTGACCGTGAAAAACCCAGCGGCGTTGCAGTTCTTGACACACTCAAACCTGTGTGCCTAGCACCTACTACCATTCACGTTTCAAAGGCACTTAAATCTTTTGTCTTGCCCATTCACCCTCTGAATGACACACATGCACAATCCATGTCTCAAGGCTTAAAATTCCTTCTTTCAACCTGTATCCTCCCCTTCATCAACACTGATTGAAGTGGATTTAAGTGACATCAATAAGGGATCATAGCTTTCAACTGTCATCGAAAGAGCAGGTGTCCTTGTGTTTTGTACATTCAGTGTATATCACATTGTCTTTTATATTATCCACATTTCTATGAATACAACTCCAAAGATAGCTATATAACATATAGAGAGATTGCAATCTCAACGGGTGACTTTGAATAGGATTCTGTGTTGGTATTGATTTTTCACAGTAGAGCATGATTTTACTAATGTGCTGGCAATATGGGTCAGGGGATTCCTGTAAAGGCTCACCACTACTACTCTGCCTACAGCAGAAAATGTAAGCTATTATTAGCTACTCATATTAATGTAAGGTCACTCCACTTAAATCTACAGACAGTAGACAGAGCATCCTTGCATTTTACACTTAGGCCGCTTCACATTCCCCCCTTTCCCCATTTTATCTTTATTTGAATGATTAGTTTAATTCATATGAATCGATTCATTTAAACTATTCTTTTTGACAAAACGAACTATTAACTTTGCCCTTGTAGCTGTTCGGATTCGGTTCAATTGCAGTGAATCAAAATAATCATTTGTGAATTGCAAACAGTAACATTAGGAAAAAAGATTAGCTGTAGCTTTCCTTTTCGATTATGTGGCTGCAAAACTTGTTTTGTTGATACTTCAAGTTGATCTGGGCAGTCAAACTCTTCTTCCTGACTATTTGCAAGTGATTCATCCGCTGATGGTGAAGGTACTCCAGTAGTTGTGACTACTCCAGGTTTAAAATCCAACCATGTGTGAGTGCAATGTTTACAATTTTTGTGAGATTTAAAAGGTACCATTAATGTTTGTCTGAAAATTACAGCCTACAAACATACAAGTGATAGTTTCATTACTCTTGAGATGGCTGTTGATGTGTACAAAATCATCATTTTCTGATGCTAAATCATTGCAAGCACATAGATGACAACTGAATATTGCCACGTTTGTGAGATATTTAGTAACCTCCGTTGAGTGGACTTTACTTTGGTGCACAATTAAGGTATTCCAGGTCTTAAATGCGCATGGATAGTCAATGTATGTACATGGGTAATGGACAGTATGGCCGTAATGTGGGTGCTTTAAGTTGTAATGATACACAAGTTGGGACCTACTTGACACCGATTCTGAACACCCCTTCCATTTCCAAATTCACACAACAATGAAAAAAAGATAACAGAAATACCATAAGACCTAAAGACTGACATTCGGAGCGAAACATTTTTTGGTATTAAAACAACCTCTGATAACAGTACTCACCAACACTACATAGCCTTTGAATGGGTAGACAAAGCATCACAAATGTAGTAGGCAAACATCATGGACCTGTAAATATAAATGTTGTTCATTCAATTATTATTTTTCATTATGAAGTGTTTGATTCAATTATCTATTGATTTATGCATGCATCCACTCATGTGGTTTTGAACTCCTGAGTGGCGCAGTGGTCTAAGGCACTGCATCGCAGTGCTAACTGTGCCACTAGAGATCCTGGTTCGTATCCAGGCTCTGTCGCAGCCGGCCGCGACCGGGAGACTCATGGGCGGCGCACAATTGGCCCAGCGTCGTCCAGGGTAGGGGAGGGAATGGCCGGCAGGGATGTAGCTCAGTTGATAGAGCATGGCGTTTGCAACGCCAGGGTTGTGGGTTCGATTCCCACAGGGGGCCAGTATAAAAATATATATATATGTATTCACTAACTGTAAGTCGCTCTGGATAAGAGCGTCTGCTAAATGACTAAAAATGTAAAATGTAAAAATGTTTTTGTTTTTGTCAAATAATTTGACATTTATTGATAAGTGGACACACATAATATAAAGTAACGCTGTTCAAGTGAACTCCACATCCCATTTCAATAAGTCTGTATGTCACATTTGCACCACGTATTACAACATGGAGGCAGCCATGGGCAAACTGTTAAACTGCATGAAAGCACCAATCTTATAGGATTACAGTGGCTTGCGAAAGTATTCACCCCCTTACAACCTGGAATTAAAGGTGTCAAATAAATTGCTTTAATATTACAATGACAGCTGTCGTCATGGTTAGTGTTGTGTGTTTCTATCTTTATTCTAGGCTAGCATCTAAGCCTGAAATGTATTAGCTATTTGAACATTGGCTAAGACATGTGCAGGCACTGGTAGCTAGCTACCTGTCAAAGCAGTTTTTTCCAACTTTCCATTGTTAATCCAACAGCTGGCAACGGTTTAGCTAGCTGGATCTCACATCAGGGGTGACTCACTGTGTCAGGAATCTGTGCTAGTTCACTGAATTCAACTCAGACACTGTGTAGTTGGCTTGCTTGACTGTTTACTTGTGTGCTCTGCTGGCTACAGTAGCTATTATTGTCTACATTAATGTGTTTCCATACTCACTGTAGTTGGTTAGCTCCAGAGATGGTTCACTTCCATACCTAGCTAGCTTAGCTAATGTTAGCTGCCAAACATGCTGCTTCTTCTTCTTCTTCTTCTTCTTCTTTGGTATTATGGCGTTCACACATTTGTTTGTGCATGCCGCCACCTACTGTGGTCGATCATGTTACATTTTGTGATACAAAACTAAAAAGGAAAGGGAAAGGAAAAAATTGCACCACCAACTAACCCTACACCTATATACCACAATTTAATTAAAAACAAAAACACCACCCCATTCCACTACTTGACCCTAACTGATCCTACTGCAGGGCAACGGCCTGGGAGGACGGGACTCTTTCGTTCAACACACCTTGTAACTCTTCTACAGTAAAACCTTGTACACCCAACATCTATTCTCTGTGATTTACATTCCATTTCTGCAGTACAGTTGATAACCATGGCAATGAATGCTAAGAAGCCAACCTTAATGAAGCACAAATTCGTATAACTCTGTATTGGCCTAGGCCTACTATTCACCCTTGACCCATCATCCTCTACTCTCTTGACTGCCTCAGCATATGACACCTTCTGTTCTACTCTGACCCTGGCAACCTCAACCTCTCTCTCTCACACTGGGCACTTCTGATCCCCAGCAACATAGGCACACCCACAATTAACACACAGTTTTTTCCACCAATACTACACATTCCTTTGTTCCATGCCCTCCTGCACACTTCTCACATTTTGGAATCTCCCTCCTACATACTGCTGCAACATGACCGTAAGCTTGGCATCTAAAACACCTTAGTGGTTTCGGCACAAAAGCTCTCATGGGATAACTGACATATCCTAACATTACTTTGTCAGGTAAAGACTCTGCTTCAAAACTCAAAAGGACAGACAGTGTTTTCTCAGTTTCACCACACTCACCACTGGGTCAGACACAGGGAATCTTCCATTTCAGTTGCTCTAACTCAACATTTAATGCCACCCCAGTAATCACTCCTTTCAAATGCGCCCTACTCCGAGAGCAAAGCAAGTCAAAGGTCTTGTCCTGAGGCATGTGACGCAAAGTGCCCACTCCCTGTGGGGGGAAAAAACACAGAAAATCATCACAAGTCCAACTCGAGCTACCTTCACTGATTTATCAGTACCCAATTTATTTTCTACACAGCCTGAGACTACATATGGGTCAGCCAAAGGGCAGGGATCCACTTTCAACCAAAGATTTCACTCCCACTGGGCCAGAATCATCCTTTGCATGACCATCAGGTGAGGCTCGGACTCTGAGGTCTTCACCACACCTGCCACCGCACCTTCACTCTTATCAGGTTACATTTCTTAACCATCAGAGACAGGTCTCCTCCTCATCATCCATCTTTCGCAAGAACTTATTGGTTAAACACAAGAAAAATATGCTAGAACGTTCAATCTCATCACGGAACACCATCTTCTTCTTCTTCTTCATTAAATGTATATTGGCGGATCGCAACTGAGAGGTGCAGACACCGCCACCTACTGTACTGGAGAGTGAGGCCAGTCACAGCCTCCCTATTAATCAATTTCTCTTATCTAGTCTGGTGTTTTCGCCTACTGTTCTGGAGTGTGAATCATTACACTTTGTGACACAAAAAGGGAAGGGAAAAAGGACGGGGAAAAGGGATGAGATATTGCCCTACCAACTAACCCTACACCCATTAAAAGCTCACCACTTTTCCACTACTTGGCCCTATCTGATCCTACACCAGGCCAGCAGCATGGGAGGATGGGACACTATCATTCAACACACCTTGTAACTCTGCAGTAAAATCTTGTACACCCAAGTACTTCTCTGCAGCTGCCACCGCAACATCTATTTTATTTTATTTGAGTTCCATTTCTGCGGTACAGTTGATAACCATGGCTATGGACGCTAAGAAACCAACCTTACTGAAGTACATGTTATTCCTATCACTCTCTATTGGCCTCGGCCTACTCACAGGGAGCCTCTTAGGATCCCTCGCCCTGGACCCATCTTCCTCTACTACTCTCTTCACTGCCTGAGCATATGACACCTTCTGTACTATTCTAAACCTGGCAACCTCAACCTGCCTTTCTCTCACTGGACACTTCTGATCTCCAGCATCATGTGCACCCCTACAGTTAACACACACAACTTTTTCCACCAATACTACACATTCCTTTGTCTCATGCCCTCCTGCACACTTCTCACATCTAGGAATCTCCCTCCTACACACTGCTGCAACATGACCATAAGCTTGGTACCTAAAACACCGTAATGAGTTCGGGACAAAAGCTCTCACGGGATAACTGACACATCCTAACTTGACCTTGTTGGGTAAAGGCTCTGCATCAAAACTCAGCAGGACAGACAGTGTCTTCTCTGTTTCACCACGCTCTCCACCGGGTCTGCATCGTACCAAACGGCGGGTGTCACAGACACCGGGAATCTTCCATCTTCTTTTTGGTTTGTTGTCATTTTGACTCAATATACTCGAGATTTGCTGCCACGTACTGTTTTGGAGGATGAGTTGCAGCTATGTAACATTACAGCACATATTATTACTCTTCTGGTTACAGTAGCTATAAAATGATGTTCGTTATTTTGTGAAACAAAATCGCCAGTCATATCAGTCATCATATCATTTATCATAGTCTTTTCTGAGCGTTTGGACAAGCTTAATTCAAGATCATTAAATGGTTCCTTTCAGTTAAAAATATATATAATCTGATAAATAAATCACTATTTAATGATTTGTTTGAAGGACGTACGTCAAGAGAACATTAATTTCGTTATCATTACAATATCATACATTCACTTGGGACGTTAGTACAATTTTTATTGTCTGTTCAAAACCTTGGAAACCGGGACATTTTGAAGCTGAGTAGATTGTTGCCTTATTGAATGCAGCATGTTCTTTTTTTCTCTGGTCGCGGAAAACAAACTGTTGATGGAATCAACAGAATAATTTGCACTAAAACAATAACGCTATACTCCGAGTCAAATTGGGGAAAACAAACATTCTTTCCAATTGACCCTCATTGTAAAAGATCCAACTTCGTCGTACATCTTTTGTTATACAGACATTTTAAAAAACATGTTGAAAAGCTGCTGTGTTGTTCAATTAACATGTAAACTGGTCAAAAATACTGACCTACAGTTCTCAATGCTCCCATGTAGGGAAATAGAGGCTGCAAGAAGAGCCCTGTGGCTTCAGGCTGTTCGGCATGAGAAATGTGGGGACCCGGTGTCCAAGAAGGCTACACGTAGCAATGTGTGTGGAACACATTTCATCACAGGTAAGAAATGTTACTTGTTTAGTATAGTCCGTTTGTAACTCCACTCACTACTTGTAGCCATATAGTCCGTTTGTTTGATGTTGGTCTTGGCTAGCTTAAAGATGCACTATGCAGAAATTGCTCCGCCATTTCCTGGTTGCTAAAATTTTAAAAGATTGGATTTTCAGCTGTTTGATGCTGGTGTACAAAACTGAAAGTAATAGACCAAAAACTAAACTTAAGAATGGGAAGCATAGAAATAGCGCACATAGAACAGACCTACCGCTTCTTAGACTTGCTTTCAATGAGAATGAAGATCTATAACTCACAAGTCTATGTGAATTTGGTCGGGTCGCCCAAAAAATTACATATTGTAGCTTTAATGTTCTGGTTGCTAGCTAGCTAGCACTCACTCACTCATGTGGCTGCTAGCAACATCATGAAAAGGGGCATTAGGGAAGCCCTACAATATTACATTTTTCTAAGCAGTGAGAATGCTAGGGAGCAGGCAATGTTGAAAAGTAATCTTTAGACATGTTGTACTTTCTTAAATGTCGTTTTGTAATTGACAAAAGTAGACAAGAAAATTGCTTTTGAAAAAATTTCAAGTTTTTGCTGTGAGCCAATGGAGTAACCACAGGTTGTTTTCCCCACCTTCTATCAAATACTGACTGGGACTATACCGGTAACCAGCGCACTGTTCTATATCTTGTCAATCAATTATCATGTGACTTCCTCTAATTTATTTACATGTTGAAAAGATTGGTAGGTAGGCCTTTATATTTTCCTTGGCAGTATCTCTATCCACGGTGACAACGTTATTGCAGCTATCTACCTTATAAAGGCAGTTATTTGCAGTAAATTCGCTTGCTGTGTCAAATTAAACTGTACTGCTCAAACTAGGACTAGGTTGTCTCTTTAAACTGTGTGATTTCGCTCCTGGAAAGGGAGGGGGAGAGAGTTGGATGGGTTCATTGGGTTCATCAATCCGCCGCTACCGAAGCAAGTCGTCACTAGTTACCACAGCCACAACGTCATAAACCCCGCCTATTTCTAAAATGTATCTTCTTATAATGCGATTTTAATCCTTAACCTAACCTTAACCACACCGATAACCTTATGCCTAACCCTAAACTATTTTTGTTTTTTTTTAATGATTATTTACGACAGCCAATTTCGACTTTGTGGCTGTGGTAACTAGTGGAAACCACCGAAGCAGCGCCCTCTAAAGACACCCTGGATTGGAAGATTTCTCCTTTAATTTTACCAGGCTAGCGGCTTTCATAGACTCTCAGTAGACGGGGAAGAAGTGTCAGATGCAGGAAAGGTGGTAGCTAGGTAACCCGACTTGCCAAGAGTTACGATGGAAATGGCACCAAACGTTACTAACGCTTGACCTTTAAATCGGGACGCAGAAACTCGATCAGCTCAATACTCCTGTCGAGTAGGTGCCATTTCAGGTCATTCCAGGTATCTTTAAAATTTAGCCTACTATAGCCACAAGCTGGCTGGCTAGCTAAATCAATAAGGTTACCTGAAAGACAGCATGCTGGCTGGTAATGCCAGACAATTTGTCGTGTGCTTAACTGTGTTGGAAACGAAATAATGATGTCTGATGCAACATATTCAAGAGGGATGGAAAGAGACAGAGGAAGGATTACATCAGATTATATGGCGAGAGGCGCATATCCTCAACAGTATGTCCACCCTGGCACACAGCAGCAGGGCATAGACATTCAAGAGCTTGCCTCTAAACGTGTCGACATCCAGAAGAAACGGTTTTATTTGGACGTAAAACAAAGTGCACGGGGCCGATTCCTAAAAATTGCAGAGGTTTGGATTGGAAGAGAACGTCATGATAACATCAGAAAGAGCAAATTAACGCTGTCCATGTCAATGGCACCCGATCTACGGTATTGCCTGGGGGACTTCATCGATTATTACGCTCATATTGGGTTGAGAGGTATTCTGGTACCACGGCCAGAAGAGCAGAGCAATGGCCAGGGCCGCCCGCACAATTCCTGCAGAAGACCGCAGAAGATACACGTAGCATCAGTGTCTCCCACCGGCTCTGCGGTGTCGGAGGAGCATACTCATCGCGTCCTGAAGAGTGAATTCATTGAGAGAGACAATAGAAAGTACTATCTGGACCTGAAAGAGAACCAGCGAGGCAGGTTCCTCCGCATCAGACAGACTGTCAGCAGAGGGCATGGCACCATGGGTTACTACGGCCAGGGCATCGAGCAAACCATAGTGTTGCCGGCTCAAGGGCTAATCGAATTCAGAGATGCACTGTCGCAGCTGATTGAAGACTACGGCGAAGATGATGCCACGGAGGAGCTTGGAAGAGGCAATAGGAACCATGAAGAAACCCCAGAGTTTCCCGAGGCAGCATCTTTCCGAGTGGACAATAAGAGGTTTTATTTCGACGTTGGTTCCAACAGGTACGGTGTCTTTTTAAAGATTAGCGAGGTACGACAGCCATACAGGAACACCATAACGGTCCCCATGAAAGCCTGGGCCAGATTTGGAGAGCATTTCATTAGGTATGAGGAGGAAATGCGGCGAATTTTCACCTGTCACAAGGAGAAGAAGACAGAGACTCGCGAGGACAGTGAAGAACAAGAGGATTGACAATGGCATTATATGGCTGTAAGAGGTTTCTAGTGATGGTGGGTTAAAACAGTGAAGGGAAAAGCTAAACATGACAATATCCTAGATTATATGAAAAAGTATTCTTAATGTACCTCTAGTAGGCCTATGGCTTTTGTCAACTAGTACTTTTACATTGTTCATTCCTGTTTCAATCATACATTTAGATTATGGCATCCGTTTTGAAATTGGTGCAGCAGGACGTGTTGCCTATTGCAAAATGCAAAATGAAATACAAAATGATGATATAGGTCATTTATGTGAATCAAATATTTTTTTTCATTGTGGTGAATGGAGTGTGTGAATGGAAGTATGTGTGCTCATGTGATTGTTTGATTGAGGAAAAAAAGATGAGACATAATAGTGTACACGTCCTGTATTCCACAAGCATTGGTAGGGGGTTAATGTAAGATATGCTGTTGAAGGCTAGACATGATATTGTTGTTTAAACAGCAACAATCATTTGTCTTATTTGTGTAGTTAGCACTTCATGATTGAGGATTTCGTCTTATAGAATAAGGGACAGTTTGGTTGAGGGTTCGCCGACCACCACGGACGAGCTCAATCTCCCTGCCTATGTCATTACACTATAATCAGAGCCGACTGCAGACAATGATCAGCTAGGGGGAAATCAGATTTTCAACATTTTTATGCTATATTTATAATTATAAACTGGGTGATTCGAGCCCTGAATGCTGATTGGCTGACAGCCATGGTATATCAGACCGTATACCATGAGTATGACAAAACATTTATTTTTACTGCTCTAGTTACGTTGGTAAGCAGTTTATAATAGCAATAAGGCACGTTAGGGGTTTGTGATATATGGCCAATATACCACACCTCCTCGGGCATTATTGCTTAATTATATAAAATATATGCAACAATTTTCCACCAACAGGTTTCTGTGCCAAAGCACTACACACAACCAATAAGCAATGCATAACTGCATACCGAATACCGACTTCGAGCGCTTCATCATGGTTTGCGTTTTCAACACCACAATCAAATAGAGTATGTCAATCCAGACAAACAGGGAAAACATCCCTCCCTACTCAGTATCGAAGGCTTGGCTTGACAATCACTGAATGTCATTAAACTTTTTGCTGTTTTGTAACTGATGTGGCCGATGTGCAGTTTGGATGCTGGAATTATATTAGTTAGTGGAGTGGATGAACGTGCGCAGGTAGCCTACAGGAGACTTTTGAAGTAGCCTAATTTGATTAAAACATTGTGACTGGTTGTGTTTATTGCACACATAAAAGGTAATACATTTAAAAAGTAAAATTACAAATATTTTGGCTATATTGAAGTGTTAGGTTCTAGGTCGAGGAATAGCCACTCGGATCGGAAAGGAGGCAGAACGTGCATTAAGCTTTCCTGAATAACTGGGCCTGCTAGGAGCATAGGCCTATGTGTCTACACTATATAAAACGACTCGGGAGAATGATGATCAGCAACAGACAGCGCATCAGTATCAGAAATCAAAATACAGCCAGACTGTCCTGTACTATACCTTTCTAGACCTTATAATCTGTCAAAAGTAGACCCACAACTTATCCAAATGGAATGAAACGTTCAAATAACGGCTTTTGCGCCATTATTCAAATGACATTATTACTGCAGTTTACACTGCCGAATTGTACTTACTTAAAATAATAATGCAAATATTCATTGCATTGTGGTGTTGTAGTCTAGGTAGGATAATTGTATTGTCCCTAAGGCCATACAAATGTAATTGACTGTATAAAGGATTACATTATTAATTATACTTTTTTAAAATATAAAATAAAAGTTGTGCCCCTTGAAATAATACTAAAACACCTAGCGACCTCACCAAGAGATTTGAGCATTTTGGGATTGTAGCGAATGGTGGGTCAGGGAATACAACTCAGGTCCCTAGCGTGAAAGACACACAACACCAAACATTTTTTAAATTCATTTAGCAGACGCTCTTATCCAGAGCGACTTACAGTTAGTGAGTGCATACATTTTTCATACTGAAGGCACGTCCCTGTGCTTCAACTACTCAGCCCCATAGCATGTTTGAGCCATGCGTTCCGCTGGCCGCAACAAAAAAAATCCAGAAAAACGCATGTCAAAAATGTTATAAATTGATTTTGCATTTTAATGAGAGAAATAAGTATTTGACCCCTCTGCAAAACATGACTTAGTACTTGGTGGCAAAACCCCTGTTGGCAATCACAGAGGTCAGACGGTTCTTGTAGTTGGCCACCAGGTTTGCACACATCTCAGGAGGGATTTTGTCCTACTCCTCTTTGCAGATCTTCTCAAAGTCATTATGGTTTCGAGCCTGACGTTTGGCAACTCGAACCTTCAGCTCCCTCCACAGATTTTCTATGGGATTAAGGTCTGGAGACTGGCTAGGCCACTCCAGGACCTTAATGTGCTTCTTCTTGAGCCACTCCTTTGTTGAATTGGCCATGTGTTTTGGGTCATTGTCATGCTGGAATACCCATCCACGACCCATTTTCAATGCCCTGGCTGAGGGAATGAGGTTCTCACCCAAGATTTGACGGTACATGGCCCCGTCCATCGTCCCTTTGATGCGGTGAAGTTGTCCTGTCCCCTTAGCAGAAAAACACCCCCAAAGCATAATGTTTCCACCTCCATGTTTGACGGTTGGGGATGGTGTTCTTGGGGTCATAGGCAGCATTCCTCCTCCTCCAAACACGGCGAGTTGAGTTGATGCCAAAGAGCTCGATTATGGTCTCATCTGACCACAACACTCACCCAGTTCTCCTCTGAATCATTCAGATGTTCATTGGCAAACTTCAGACGGGCCTGTATATGTGCTTTCTTGAGCAGGGGGACCTTGCGGGCGCTGCAGGATTTCAGTCCTTCACGGCGTAGTGTGTTACCAATTGTTTTCTTGGTGACTATGGTCCCAGCTGCCTTGAGATCATTGACAAGATCCTCCCGTGTAGTTCTGGGCTGATTCCTCACCATTCTCATGATCATTGCAACTCCACGAGGTGAGATCTTGCATGGAGCCCCAGGCCGAGGGAGATTGACAGTACTTTTGTGTTTCTTCCATTTGCGAATAAGCGCACCAACTGTTGTCACCTTCTCACCAAGCTGCTTGGCGATGGTCTTGTAGCCCATTCCAGCCTTGTGTAGGTCTACAATCTTGTCCCTGACATCCTTGGAGAGCTATTTGGTCTTGGCCATGATGGAGAGTTTGGAATCTGATTGATTGATTGCTTCTGTGGACAGGTGTCTTTTATACAGGTAACAAGCTGAGATTAGGAGCACTCCCTTTAAGAGTGTGCTCCTAATCTCAGCTCGTTACCTGTATAAAAGACAACTGGGAGCCAGAAATCTTTCTGATTGAAAGGGGGTCAAATACTTATTTCCCTCATTAAAATCCAAATGATTTATAACATTTTTGACATGCGTTTTTCAGTGGGCAAACGTACAAAATCAGCAGGGGATCAAATACTTTTTTCCCTCACTGTAGTTAATATACTGCCTGGCAAGTTTGATGTATTAGTAGCCAACTAACGTTAGGTAGCTAGCTAGCTAACATACCGGTACATATTGCTGTAATGCTATGCGGTTCGTAAGGATAGCGTAGCTAACAAATTGTTAGCCAACATAACGTGTAACGTAACTTATTTTAAAAGTCATTACTTTATTACATTGCTCAACATTTTCGTAACATTTGTCATAATTAATGAATTTGTATCCACTCTCGCCTGCATATTTTCCGCCATTTTCTTCAAATCTGAAAACGTTGTGACGCCTCGCCCATTTTCTGAAGAATTTCATTATGGGCCCTAAAATCACGGAAATAGTGTCCACTGCTTGTATACTTCGTATTTTGGCTAATTTAGTACGACATCCGGGAACTTTTGGCATACTAACTATATCCATACTATGACCAATAAGCATACTACATACTCAATTTACGCCACAAATAGTAAGGTTAGTACTGTATTCGAACACAGCTATGGTCACTGGCTTGAAAGGCATGCATTGTACCAATAGGGTTAACCCACTTAGTGGGAATTGTATCATGGCTCATATAGTGAGGATTGTGACAGTGTAATGGTTTGGAATGACAGTCGCAGGGACCAGGGCTTGAGTCCCAGTCAGGGTACCCCCTAATCCACTATATTGGTGTCAGCCAGGTATTGGAGAGCACCCTTGAAAGCATGTCCCAGCCAAGTTTTAGTCACAGTGTTTCTGTCAGGTTTCTGTACTCAACACGGTCTCAGAGCATTTCAGATTATTCTGTACGTAAATCCGAACATTCCATTTAGTATGATATGTTACATTTGGTATGGTTACATAAGACATATGGTTACTTAAGGCAAAATCAAAAGTAGGGTGCTTGGTCGGAGTGGATGGATAGGCGAATAACACGAACGTCTAGCAACCCAAAGGTTGTGAGTTTGAATCTCATCATGGACAACTTTAGCATTTTAGCTAATTAGCAACTTTTCAACGACTTACTACTTTTTAGTTACTTTACAACTACTTAGAATGTTAGCTAACCCTTCCCCTAACCTTTTAGCTAACCCTTCACCTAACCCTAACCATTTTAGCAAACCCTAACCTGAACCCTTTAACCTAACTCCTAAGCTTAACCCTAACCGTAACTCATAACCCCCAGCCTAGCTAACGTTAGCCAGCTAGCTAACATTAGCCACCTAGCTAGACTTCGTAACATATCTTACATATTGTACGTTTTGCGAATTCGTAACATATAATATGATTTGTAATTCGGAAAATATCACATGAAATGGGTGATGGACATCAACAAATTAATACATACCATATGAAACGTAACATATACTAAATGGAGTGCTTCTACATCTGCATTGCTTGCTGTTTGGGGTTTTAAGATGGGGTTTCTTTATAAGCACATTGTGAAATCTGCTGATGTAAAAAGGGCTTTATAAATACATTTAATGTGTGTGTGTTTCGGACAGAATAATACAAAATGCTCTGACACC